TAACTGCGGGCAGTTATCAGTTAGCCTTTAAGGCGTAAAGTTAACAGCCATCAGAGGAAAACCTGGAAAACTATTTTCCGCCGCATAAAATTGTATCGCAGTTTCACGCAAATCAGTGAATACGAAGTAGAAATTGTGTAATACACACAGTGTAGTTTTTCATGTTTTTAGTGTAGTGAATATGGTGTTTTGAAGGAGTCTCTTTTCAGAAGTTGGTTCAGTTGTTTTGCAGATCCGTGTGCACAAGGTTCGTTTTCACATCGTTGTGTAAACTGAAACCTGTTGATGATTAATTATGTGTTGGAGCCCGAAGAGGAAAAATGACCCAATAATTTCAGCTTAAAACAAAAGATTAAAAGTGCTGTCTTGAGCAACCTGGGTACTGAAACAATCGCGCCGCGCCCATCCAATAAGCCTTATTAAAATCATTTATATTTTAGAAGCATAAAAATCAGATTTGTGCAGTAGAAGCCTTATGTTTTTTCTGCCTCGATGTGAGCGCTCCAGATTGATCTTAAGACAGAATCTTATGCTTGTTTTCATAATTTCAAATTAAAAGCATTTATTAATGCTGTTTTAGATTGTCAGTTTAATTTAGCAGACAGTCACAACAGACGAGAGACACTTTAATTTACAGGCCCTCACCACACATTACACACATTAATTATGTTTTTACGCTCTGTTTGCACAAACACACTGCTGTTTAGCTCCTCAAGGCTTGTTCCACAGATGAATCCTGGGAAGACGTGGGCCGTGGCCCCCTTGTTCCCTGTCGAGGTCAGGTGACCGATGTCAAACAGCGCCCCGATTGGGAATGGGAGGTGAAAGTGGACCGGGGGCCGCCCCGACACAACTGGCCAGCCCGCTTCCCTACTTCCTGTTGTAGCGACAGGATGCTTTTTGTTACCCAGAGTGCCAGTGAGCGGCATAATACCCAGAAGTCCGTGCAGGCAGGAAGGAACCGGCAGCTTAATGCCAGCTCGCCTTCTGAGCTGTGTGACTTTCTAGCCAGCAGCTCTGTGATCTAGCCCAGAACAGGCTCACCAGCCCAGCAGAAATAACCGAGCTATTATCTGATTTTATTGATTACTCCCCTACTGATTATTATTGATTATGTACTGATTATTATTGATTAACGTGACGAGTTGGAGTGTGTGTTTTCTTATGTCTAACTTGCTTTATATGAGTTATATAACAGAATTGAGGGTTTATTCTTTAACTGTCTGATTCAATGAATGAGAGCTCCCAGCCTTGCTGTTGGGAGCAGGCATAAACATAAGCGACCGTCTCCATGTTTGACTGCTAAATGGGACCATGCCAGTTACTAAATGAAGCATCAATTTTGCCTGTATGGGAAGAAGACTGAAACTAGAGAGCTGAGACCAATAAACTCATGCAGGAAACTGTTTACTGAGGCTCATACATCAACTTTCTCCATAAAGACCTGCATGGTATCGGTTTTTATTGGGCAGCCAGTGGAGGCTGCCCCCCTGCTGGCCCAAACTTCAGAGCGGATCTCCCCACAAAAGTGATGGATTCATAGTTGATGTGTACAGTTAGCTGCAGCAGCTTTAATGGCGGACTATTTCGCTCCCGTAATGCAAATAACGATGTGAGTACTTCCTCCAACCTCCTGGTATCCTGTGTAAAGTGGTCCACACCCCACCCAAGCATTGCCATGTAATGCTTTGTATTTGAAATATTTGTTTATTCTACAAGTGAAACTTATTACATAGCACATCCACAACACACAGACACACAGCCACACACACTGACAGTGACCTCGCGCCCTACGAGATGGAACTGGCACAACACACACCACACACCACACACACCAGCACACAGCACACACACAGTTAGCAGGAGGTTCCTGGAGGTAACTGTGGGCAAAGAGAAGAAAGCAGAGGGATGGAAGAGAGGAGTGGTGCGTGAATAAACAGAGAGATTAAGGGCATGAAGGATATAAAACCAGAGAGTGATCACTGAGGATGCCTGACAGCTATGTGGTTGAGGTTTGGTTGAAGCCAACACTGTGGTCATTACCACACCTCTCACAGAGATTTTATGCAGGCTCGTTGATGCTACATGTTGCCAAACAGTCTGGTTATTTCCACATCCAGCAGTTACAACCATGATCATTCTCCTCCCCTGAGGGAAATATCTCTGCTGCCAAGCTAAACGCTCCGCATTATGTCCACAGAGCGAGCTGCTCTTGAAGAACAAGCGCAGCGTTTAATTTAATCATGTTTAAATTAGGAAAGTGGTTTGAAACAAGCACACGAAGAGAATAAAGAAATATTTCTCGTAAAAATATCTGATAAAGAAAACGTAAACTTCCTGTTTGTGTGAATATGAGCTGATTTCTGACAGTAAAGTAAGAAAATAAGATAAATAAATCAAAATAATTAAATAAAAAGAGAGATTTAAAACAGATTAGAGATTAGAAACATTTAAATTATGAGATATAAAGTTGAAATTATTCTCCATAAGACTCGATACTGTCAGACTTCTTGTTGCCCCCTGCTGGCCATTAGAGAGACTGCAGCTATAAGACACTGATTATATACTGTGAATGTCTGGGATCAAGTTCAGGCTGCACAACTATTCACTGGCTCTGCTTCAGGCGCTGAACTCGACCATCAAACAGCTGCAGCAGCTTCACACGTCACACGCTGTCCTCATGTGTTCATTTTAATGTCTTCACTCAAGCAGCGTCTCTCTGTTCGCTGGGTCTTACAGTCCAGGTGAAATTAACCCTTTAAGATCACACCCTCAGTTATATTGTTCACATATTTAACAATTTATGATAAAATATGTCACAAAAACTCAGTTTCTTTGTGTTTTTATATAAAATCCAATCATTGTGTCTTCCTGTGAAACTAAATGTGACGCGTGCTGATGTCAACATGAACTATCTGATCTGAACCAATAATATCAAACATTCACCTGTCAATCAATCAATCCCAGCCCGACAGAGTCCACTAATGGATCCACTACAGCTGCTGGACTGTGGGGACGTAGCACACAGCGTTGTTAGCTACAGCGACAGGTCCTTTACTGTCTCTTCTTAAAGGAAATCTGTAAATATGAGGAAGCTAACAGTTTGACTTTCACTCCTCTGTTCACAGTGAACAGCAGCAGGATTCAGGTGATAGACGGGTCCGATAAGAGCTTCTCAGCCGACCGTGTAATCAGTGATCAATAAATCAAGATAACCAACCTTTTTCCTTTAAGGGGATCAGTGAGTAAACTGACTATTTTATCTATATTTCATATTGTATTGATCAATAACAGACAAACAGTGAACTCAGTAACTGCAGATGTTTGTGTAAAACCAGAGATTAGGATGAATTTAGATCCGAGAAGAGTTTTTGAAATGTTTTTGATATCGACCTAGTGTATATTTTTTAAGTTTTCTCACACTCATTAAAACCAAGAAGACCTCGTGACCCCCTGTGGAGCTTTGCTGACCCCTAGTGGAGGTTCAGTAGATCAGTAGATCACTGGTTAATGTAGCTGTAGATTCCTTCTGGTGTTTTCTGAATCATTTGGTTTGAACAACCGCTCACTGAACCACACTGTCGCATTCTGCCACCGTTGCTGAACTCCTGGTGGTAAACGTGGGCTGTTTGAGGGTTCAGAGGTTTTAGGGTTCGCGGCAGGAGGCGTGACCTCCTTTCGGACTTGAGTCGAGTCAGAAAGTGTGTAGACCGATTATTAAACAACATAAATGTACATACTGTAGAGGTATGAGCCAATCAAAGGTCTGTATGTAAAGTGCTTCCTGTTACTGAACGACACCTCACAGTCATCATTAAAGCAGCGGTGCAGATACAAGTGGCTCACTAAGGGCCCCGAACTGCTGCGGGCCCCGAACTGAATCACCTGCATATACGGCAGTTACTGGAACATCTGTATGTGTTTGAATCCCTCTGGGCTTATGAACTGCAATGATCTGACATCTATGGAGGCCCAATTCTGCCAGTGTGACCAAACAAATGGATTCTGTGAGAAACTTTAATGAAAATAGTGACTTTGTGAAGTCTACTGAAGATACTGAAGAGAAATGGGCTTCAATGGATGTCTCTGTTGTTTTTATGTCACTTTAAACTGTATAAACTGTAATAACTACACAGTGGTCACATTAGGACTCAAAGAGGACTCAAAATTTAACATTTAAGACTTGAGACTTGAGAAAACAATGGCTTTGTCCCACCTCTGCTCACAGTAACACCTGTTATCATACACCAGGTGAGTCATGAAAGCTTTTGTGGAAGGTAAAAGGCAAACTTACAGACTCTGAAGCCCGGTCCATGGGAGCCGTCTCTCCTTCCTCCCTCTCCTCCTCCTCCTCCCCCCTCGCTGCTGCTGTACAGCGTGGTGACGTTGCCTCGCTCGCAGTAGTTGACACATCGCTCCTGGCTGCAGCGCACCTTGCAGATTGTCGGCGTGAACATCACCTGGATCCTCTCCACTCCTCCTCCTCCTCCTCCTCGTCCTGCAGCTCTCTGTCCATCAGCTGGAAGAGGAGAGACAAAGACGATGAAGACGGCCGACAGAAACCAGCAGAGTCGAGGCTGCAGCATTTCACTTTGTGTTGCAGTCAGAGTTTGTGAGCGCGTTGCATCGTCCGTACCCCCGAACCTCTCCCCTCTAACTCTAACTCTACCTCGCTCTGCCCTCCCTCCCTCTCTCTCTCGCTCTCTCTCTTTCTTACTCTGTGGTGGAGCTAAAAACGAGTGTCGCAGGAAAAAAGGAGGGAAGGAAGGAAGAAGAAAAACGACCAGGCTGCTTCCCCCCTCGCTCTCTGCGCCGTTTCCCCCCTAAACACTCCTGTGAGTGAGCGAGCGAGCGAGCGAGCAACAGTGTGTGTGAGCAGAAAGAGAGAGAGAGAGAGAGAGAGAGAGAGAGGTAGAGAGATAATTGAAAGCAGTGTGCAGGACTGGGCTCGGCTCCAAACTAAATGTTTAGCAGGGATCTGGTCCATCAGTCCACAGAGGGAGGGAGAGAGAGTAAGAACATGTGAAGCTCTCTCTATCTTTTTTTATGGGTCTTTTTGGTGGTATGAGCGGAGAGAACACACAGTTTCATAACAGACCTCAGATCAGTGGAGGACGTCAGGCTGATGATGCAACCCGGGTTTGGGTTTCAGGGGCCGACATTCATAAAACATGTCGGAGCTAAAAGTAGCTGCTGACTGCAGAGGTGGAAGAAAAACTTCAACCGTCCAATAAGTTTAAAAAACATATTTACTAAATCTATTTCTTTACTTTAACGAAAGCAATAATTATTAATCTTTAATTTATTACATTCAATAAAGTCTCCAGCTACACGCTAGCAAGCTGCTGCCACGTCAACACCTACAGTTTATATGATGAATGATGTTTAATGTACTTTACTGTCTGTTTACTGCATCTGTTTACTGTACTTTACTGCACTCCAATTTTACCTTACCTTTATCGCATTGTTACGCTACTTTCACTCCGGCGTCCGTTTACCTGCCATCTCGTTTTACTCGTACTTTACTGCAAT